GCGATGATGAGTCCGAAAGGAAGCGCGGGACAAGCTGACCACCCATGGAGGGTTTTACACCATGGCTATCGATACTGAGGTGAAGGCCAGCAAGGACGAGGTTCCCATCAATGGCAACACTTCTGAGGTAACCCCTTCCATCGGTGATCTTGTTACTGAGCTTGAAACCATGAATGACACCTTGTTTAGCCAAGATAAGCTGCTAAAGCGTGCTGCCCGTGAGAGGAAAGAATTTAAGGACAAGCTAGAAATTGCGCTGAAGGAGCTTGAGGAAGCTAAGAAGCACACTGTAGTAGTTTCTGACGAGGTTGAGTGCGATGAGTGCGCTATTCACATGTCTAGCCTTGCTTCCTTGCAATCTAAGTATGCTTCTTTGCTTGATGAGAACGATGAGTTGAAGTCTAGGTCTAGCTTGTTGGGTGCATGCAAGTCCTACTCGGGCTTGCAATCTGAGCTGGCAAAGAAGGTTGCTAGGATCTCTTTGCTTGAGAAGTCCAGTTTAGATAGCACTACTGCTAAGTGTGCACGTTGTGAGAGCTTGGTGCTGGAGCTTGAGTCCTGCAGATACGACAAGATGAGAACCGAGGAAGACAACACATACCTTCGGTCCATCTTGAGCTGGGTGTCCTGCAGTGAGCCATAGTTGGGCAGGATGATGAGCCTGTTCAAGCGAGGAACTGGTGCATCGGGTGTAGGCTTTGTTTTAGGTGGGAAGGGTGAAAGTATCTATGGCAAGGTTGGTGAGTTCAGTGGTTTGAACCCAAGTGAGAAACCTTCCACTACTCCCAAGTTGATCAAAATCACTCCACCTAAGCCCACTGAGCCCACTGTCAAAGATGAAGTGTTTGAAGACCCTCCAAAAGCCCCACCTCAAAAACAAGTCTAGGTTCTAAAACAAAACTATCTGAAGAACCCACTTGATTCTCTACCAAACATCTCTGAGGATCCCCTTCCTAAAGCCAAATGCCACCAAGAGTGAACCATACCCACAAGAGAGTGAACCAGCTACCACCCAAGAGAGAGGTGAGGTATCACTGTGACTACTGCCATAGGGATGGTTACCTTGCTGAGTTCTGCTTTAGGAGGAAGAAAGATGAGCGGCGAGAGTACGAGTTGAACAACCAAAACATGTACCGCTCGTCCCATGGCATACATGTGCCGTCTATTCAGAGGACCCGTGTTAGGCCTAGAGGTACAATGCCTCAAGGTGCTAGGCCTTAGGTTACAAGACCACGCTGGTGGTCGTGCCCTGAGGTTCCGGTCGTGGTCAATATGACTTTGAACCCCGTGGCAGTGGCTTTGGCTTTTAGTCCTATAGCTCTAGCGGACCACATTTTCCCCCATGTAGTGATGGCTTCCCTCAAATGATACATGGTATGTTTAGTGTTTTTCCTAACACTTTTCCAGGGCAAATGAGCAACACTAGTATCCTTCACAGTTTACTAACCCCAGTGTTGCGCCATTTGCTCATCCCATGTCTTTCTATTGGTACAGGATGGAGGCCTGGAGAACACATGGCTCATTGATTCTGGGTGTTCGCGCCACATGATCGGAAGTTCAAAATGATTCTCCAGCCTTGACCCCATGCAATGTAAGTAGTATATCACATTCGAGGACAATAGCAAAGGTAAAGTGCTTTTCCGTGGGACCATTCGGGTCAATGAGAGTTTTGTTCTAAAGGATGTTGCTTTGGTTTTGAATTTGCATTTCAATTTGCTTTCTGTTTTGCAACTCTTTTAGGATGGCTTTGAAGTGCGCTTTAAGACCGGCTTGTATCGAGTTCTTGATTCTCAGGGAAATCTTATTTGTTAGTTGTCCCTTATGGACATGTCTTTCGAGTTGATTTTCTCACTTCTTTGGCTCTTCTCGATGTTTAGTGGCAGGATCCTCCTCTGAGCTTTGGAAGTGGCATAGGAGACTTGGTCACTAGAGCTTTGACTGACTAGCTAGGTTGAGCTCACTTGATCTAATCCGAGGATTGCCCAAGTTGAAATTTGAGAATGATTTGGTTTGTCACCCTTATCGTCACGGGAAGATGGTTGCCGCTTCTCACCCACATGTGAACAAAGTCATGACCAAGGAATCCGGTGAGCTACTTCACATGGACACAGTTGGTCCAGCTCGGGTTCGGTTAGATGGTGGGAAGTGGTACGTTCTAGTGATCGTGGATGACTTTTCTTGCTACTCTTGGGTGTTTTTCATGGAGAGTAAGGATGAGGCTTTTTCACATGCTCGGGATTTGATTCTTTGATTGCAAAATGAGTTCTCTAAGAATGCCATGAGAGCGATTCACAGTAACAATGGCATAAAATTCAAGAATGATCATTTTGAAACCTTTTGTGCCTCTTTGGGCCTCCGGCATTAGTTTTCCTCTCCTTATGTCCCCAACAAAATGGTGTTGTTGAGTGCAAGAATCGGATCCTTGTTGAGATGGCTAGGACGATGCTCGATGAGCACAGGACTCCTACACTACACAACACCGCTTCACCGTCAGACATCTGACGCTAAAAATTATATTTGGCGATGGATGATCTGACGCTAAAGATAACTCAGAGACCATCTGACGCTAAATCCTCATTTAGCGATCTAGTGTCTGTCGCTATAGGTATTCATATTTAGCGTTAAACTGTCTATCGCTAAAACCAAGTGTACCGTCAATCTGTCTGTCGCTAAAGAAAATGGTCGCACGCTTAGCTCGCGTGCCCCCACCTCTATCTAGCTCGCTCGTGACAAACCCTAGGTTCCCAAATCCTAAACGCAGCCGCCGCCGCCTCTTCTTTCATCTCCCGCAAGCAACTTTTTCCTCTTCCGTTCCACTCTCTCTCCGGTCTCTCCCTCCTGATTCCAATCTGCCGGTGCTCGAGAAGACAACCGGAGCTCGACCGAGCAGACCCCCGCCCCGGCCCCCTCCTCCCCGCCGCTCCTTCTCCGCGCCCCCACTTCGCGCTTCTTCCTCCTACTCTTTCCACCTGTTGTTCCGTCTTGATCGGGAGCTCGCCGGATCCACGAGGGGAAGTTCGCGGGGCCCTCGAGCGCGGCGCGGGGCGGCGATGGGAAGCTTGGGAGGTGGGTGTCGGACCGAGCTCCCCGACGGTGGGATCCGGTTGGGGGAATCGGGTGGTGGGTTGTTTTTTTTAATCTCGCCGTGGCTGATCAGTTCCTTTCACTGCTGCTGCTGCTGCAGGTAGCGGTGGCGCCGGGGCCGGCGGCAAGGTCGGGCTGCCGGCACTGGACATGGCGCTCGCGTTCCCTCAGGCAACGCCAGCGTCGCTCTTCCCACCCTCCGGTGAGATGTCCCCTCGCGTTCCTTTCAATGAATATGGCAGGATCACTACTGAGCTAACCCTTATAAAAGCACTATGCCTTATAGACATGTATGACTCCTGCTGTCTACTTGCCATGTTGTCTTCTGAACCTGCCCATTACTTATATCAACTCAACCTTTGATCCTCTGTTGTCTACTTAGCTGATAACATAGTTATGTTGTAGTGACAATGACTTACAATGTTGCTTTATTCTATTTTGCCCTAGTGACAATTAATGTGAATATTAACAATATAAGGCTGGTTACCTCAGGAAAAACATGGAAAACTCTCTTGACTTCCTTAGTGTTAACTACAAATTGATAATATATATGTACAGACATATGTATGTGGCATATCTATTAGTCACCACGTGAAATAAGATTCTTATGTGGCTTTGAATTTCTGTTGGCATCGGCAGTCTTTGTCCAGAACAAGTCCTTGAAATCCTTGTGGCTACCTTTGATTTCTTATTTTCAACACTGGACTCACTATTTAGAGTTGCTTTTCAGGTTGCAATTTGGTCTCTGACAGCATCCTGTGCAAGTATATATCGATTTCGATTTTGACAAAACATGATTCAAGGTGAGCCACCTATTCTCTAACATGGGATGTTCAGTTTCATGATTTTTTAGTTTCATGAGTCATATATGACTTTGATCTCTTTCAGATAATCAACTTCTTTCATATGCTTGTAGTTTAGTCTGGTGGATTTCTGATTGTGGGCTTATGGTGTGCAGTGAATTAGCCAACGATGTGTCTTGCCTAGTTGCCTTGGGTTGTAGCCTTGAATTTAAGTATCAACTAGTAAGGCTGTGAGATTATATTCAGTGGTAGCAGTACTAAGCACTAACTGAAATTATGTAAATTTAAGTATTAACTAAGTACTAATACTACCTGGAATTGATATATCTGTGCCTGCATATTTAGCACAGATTCAGCTAAGTACCCAATATAGTAAATAGGTTACAATCCAGTTCTGAATTTTTGTATGGAAAGCTGAAAACCTCACCATGTGAAATTAGATTCTTATGTCCAATTAGGTTCATATTACTGTTCAAGTAATGTTTCCAAATGAGCTGCTGGTGCCTTTTCACTATCTCGTTGTGGCTTTGAATTTCTTTTAGCTTCAGCTTTCTTTGTCCAGAGCAAGTCCTTGAAATCCTTGTGGCTACCTTTAGTTTCTTATTTTCATCATTGGACTCTTCTGTGTGGTTTCGTGTAAAGCTGAAACCTCTACCTACCTGACTTGTTCTGAAAACCTTCTGCAGGCGTTGTCTCTATTTTATGAGCTGTTCGTATATACCTTCTGTGATGAACTACCCAGAATGCCGCACATGTTCAGGACTACTTGACAGGTTATAATGTCTTTCTGAGTCTCTATGTTACCCTTGAAATGTTATCCAGTGAGCAGGTTAAAAGTATTCCTTTGATTTTCATACATGGCAGCCATTTTCATTGTCATTAATCTGGAATGGCCTTATTTCTCAATGTACCTGAACTTAAGGAAATTTTGATACAACTGCATGGCAGCCATTTTCATTGTCATTAATCTGGAATGGCCTAAGCTATTCTTATTCCTTAGATTCTTTCTATTTTTTAGTTCTCCTACCCTTACATCAACCTCACCATTTTGTTGCATCCTAAGGCTGCTCTCACTTTCCTTCTTCTCAAAATTCTTCTTGTTTCTTTATTGCCATGCCCTTACAACTACCTGTTGCTGCAAGGTTTTTTCCATACAGTTTTGGTTCCATCCAAGAGGTATGTTTCTATGTGTTAAAATACATGTTTAGGTTCTGATTGTGCTAATGTTACCACAATTTTGTATATTAATTTGCCTCAAAACTGTGGTATGAATCCAAACTTACGTGCTTTGTGAAATCTGGTTTCTTTATATACAAAATATGTCTATGGCAAAGGTGCACAGCCTACCCACAACAGTACATAGGTCTGTTTCTCTGTTCACTAGCTAGGCATCTACAAATACAGAGTTTTTATAGCTTTCCCCTCAGTTATATAACACTTGAAAATATGAGATATATTACCTTTGTCTAGCCTGCAACTCCAATGGAATGCAAAACAGCTTTATGTGCACACTTATATTTGTCCATTCGATGCAATCCAGCTCTTATTAAAACAAAATGGGTAGGAAGTTAAGACTCACTCACTCAAATTAAGGTCTTCGAAAAATATGTTATCACAAAGAGCTTAACAAAAGCGCCAGAAGATTATCCAGATGCTAAAAATCAGCCTCATGTTCAGATAAGAGTTGCATATCCATGTTTTGTTTTGTCCTGATTTCAAGCCAGAAAAGTGACGAGCTAATAAATGTGTAAACTTGGTTCCTCAGGTTGCTTTGAGACTCAAGCAAAATGGTTACTCTGGTTGCTCAGCTGGTGACACAGTCCCTTATATAATTTGCTCTCAGCACGTATTACTAAATGATGTCTTTTATGTTTTGCATGCTCACTAAATCATCAATTGCTTATCCACATTGCAAAATTTTGGATTGTCAACCTGTCATATGACACTGATTGGTACTCTTGTTTCATAATCTGTCCAAGCCTCCAAGGCTAAGCTCATCATGTATACAGACCAGAAAGCACTAAATCTCATCAAAGTTATAAAAAGGGACCAACACATATCTCTAATGATATTCACATTTTACAACCACTCACAATCTTGATTTTATTGCTGAACTAACATTTTGAAACATTTCTTCACAAGATAAGAATATGGATAAACGGAGGGAGTAGTCAGAACTTTTTGTTTACCTGCAGTGTAATTTTAGGAAAAAGGAAAATATATAATTTTTTGCCTGAAAAACATCCCAGTTTAGCTTTGTTTGAAGCTTGATTTATCTGATCCTAAACTGTACTTGCCATTCTGTATAGGACTCAGATAATACACATTCTGTGGGAATAGCTCAGAGAGCTAGACATCCTGAGGAGTTAAAAAGAGACCCTGACAAGTGGATGATTGACATTGACTATTGTTTGTCACAACAGGTTCTTCACCATTGCAATAGATTTTCCCTTCTTGGAAAAATGCAGTTGTCTTTCCATATGCTATAGTATATACAGTGTTGATGATTCTAAATTGCCTTTGCAGATTCATCCTGTTGTTTCTCGTCTGTGTGCTTCCATTCAGGGTACTAGTCCAGCTCGTCTGGCTTAATGTCTAGGGCTTGATTCGGCTAAGGTGCGTATTTTCTGTTGAGTCTTCGATATCTTAAATGATTGGCATCATTTCTTTCAATATAGAGTTTGCTGATTCTTATTACCTGGATCAGTTCCAATCAAGAGTGACTGAGTCTAGCAATCAAGATACATCTACGATGTTGTTATCTGTAATCGATGATGAAGATGAGAGGTAAACCTCTAACATATCAATTTTGTTAATGTTGCAGTATTTCAGTTATTCAAATATTCTTGTGTTTTAATGACAGATATCGTGGTTGTGAGCCACTGCGTTTATCATGCCCAAGCTGTTCTGGTACCTTCGACTGCCCTCCTGTATCGAGTCTGATTACTAGTTCTACAAGTGTATCAGATCCAAATAATGTGTTGTGCAAGACCTTGTTGGATGATGTACTGTGTAAGACAAGATTGTATGTTATATATGTATTGATCACCATGTGATGTATGTGTTTTTATATCTTTATATGATGGACCTTAAGCTTGAATCTGGGTATGACATGTGCTACATATTTTCTCATTGTATTTATTTTTTATATATATTTATATTGTCCTGTAGAACAATCTGTCGCTATAAATACATGAACTGTTGGATGATCTGTCGGTATATGTCTTGTAATAGAGCATCTGTCGCCAAAAAGTAGCAATGGACTATCTGTTGCTAAAAAAATTCAGGGCAACGGATTGTCTGACGTTAAAAGTACTGTCTGACGCTAAAGATTTTTAGCGATAGGGCTTACAGCGTCTGCAGAAGTCTGTCGCTATAACTTTTTAGCGTCAGATTGTCTGTCGCTGTAGCCGCTTTTAGCGTCATACCGTCCATCGCTAATCTTGGTATTGTGGTGTAGTGCTAGGAGATATTGGGCTGAAGCGATCAACACAGCTTGCCATGTTTCCAATCGCATTTTTCTTCGGGCTTTCATGAAGAAGACTTCTTATGGGTTGCGATTCGAACGATCACCCAAGGTAAGTCACTTCAGGGTGTTTGGATGCAAGTGCTTCATCCTAAAACAAGGTAATTTGGACAAGTTCAAGTCCAGGTCTTTCGACGATATTTTTCTTGGTTACGCTTCTCACTCTAATGCATATCATGTTCTTAACCTTGAAACTAACCGAGTTGTGGAGACCTGTGAGGTCACATTCGACGAAACCATTCCTTGTTCCACTCCTGTCTTTGATTGTGCAGGTGATCAGGAGATTGGTGAGAGCATCTTTGTGGAGGAGGAGCAGGAAGATGCCGATTGGGGTGATCCCGAGCTGACTCCGCCGGCTGCCCCTCTCAAGCCTATGACGTTTACTTCAGCTCGTGGTCCTGATCCCTCTTTTTCCACTACTTGGGGTCCGATCGAGTAGCCTCCTCAGCCTGCGCCGGCTGCACCTGAGGAGGCCTCAACTGCTGTTGAGGGGGAGGCAACTTCTTCAAGGGAGGCACCACGACACATTCAGCGTTGCCACCCACCTCAGACCATGATTGGTGACATCGACTGTAACACCCCAGGTGTCTGTCACCCATTAAGCAGTGGGTTTGAGCTCAAACATGGCATTTTAAGTGATAATCAAGAGCTTTAGTTCCTTATCTCTGAAGTGGTGATGAAGGTGTTAAGGTCAAATCTATGAAATTGAGTCCCAACTTGAACTTGGACAATACACCTTGCTTACATATTGACCCTTTTCAAATGTAGGCTTGAGTAATGTGGAAGGTGCCCCTTTTCATGTGCCTCATCAATTTCCACCCACACTGACAATTGGAAAAGTTTCATGAAGTTTGGAACCAAGAAGTCACATGAAATGACAAGTTATAACCTTGATTGAATTGCTTTATTAAGTGAATGGAAACATGGGATGTCGACCAAACCTTGCGACCTTGCTCAAACAGCTCCAATTCAACTCATGAACAAAAGTCATAAATGGTTCGTGTTGAGCAAATGTCAAGAAAATGCCTCAATTGATCGAAAACCCTAATTCCAGGGTTTAACGAGGTGCTGCTTTGACCAAGACAAAACAATGATTTCGGTACCAGTGGTGAAGTTTGACCGTAAATAAAAGTTGAAGTTTGAGTGGAGTACAACAAACTTTATTTTTGGACCTAGCCCTAAATCAGCTTGGAAGCAATTCAAACAGTGGCCTCAAATTTGAATCAACTGCTGTTTTTAGCCTAGGAAATAATTCTAAGTCATGGAGATGTCACCGACGTCATTAGGTTGGCATGCCACGTTCTTGTGTTTTTGTTAAACAACTTGACTTGATCCCAAAGTAAAAGTTGGACTATATGTTTTGGAGAAGAGCATGTAAAAATTTGGCATGAGTTTAACTTCGCTTTGATCATCAAGTTGAGTTTGATTAATGGGCCGTCAATGCATTGACATAACCACTTTGGAGCTTAATTAACCGTTAATCCGTTTCTCTAATGACTTGGCGCCCTTAATGAAATTTGTAGAGCAGTTCATGGGCTTCAACTTTGCTTTTGGGCCCAGGGTCCAATTCGGCCCATAACTGGCCCAAAAATGTGTCCCACGCCGGCCACACCGTCGCCCGCCACGTGCTCGGCAAAATGCCCCATGGTGACCATGCAGGGCAGCGCGTCCCCACCCTGGATGCCGCGTGTCCCTACGCCCCTGTCTCCCCGATGTGGACGCCAGGCGCTCCATCTCCCTCGCGCGCTCACTCTCTCCCTCTTTCTCTCTGGCTCTCGCTCTTTGCCTTGCTCTCCTTCGCCGCGGCCACTATGGACGCCATGAGCTCCGACCACCGCTGTCGTTCCCACCTCTACTCCCCACCATAGCCGCGGCCATGAGCACCACCGCCTCCACCTCCACCTCCTCCTCCTCTCCGACCAGGGCTCCTCGGCCGAGCAAGAGACCGCCGGAACGACCCGGCCATCGGAGCCGCTTCCGTCGCCGCCGCCTGCTGCCGTGGCCACGCCACCTAGGGCTGCCTCTGGCCAAGCCAAGCTATCCCATGGATGCGCGTGGACCCCATGGTGCTCCCCCACCGTTTCCTCGACGCCGACGACGACCTCACCGTCCGGAAATCGGCTGGCCAGCGATCCTCCTCCGCCTCCTCTGTTCTGAGTGGCGTGGAGGACATCACGTTCAAATAGAAACAAGTCCAAGGGGTTTTCTATAGAAGTCATGACTCATGTGAATAGTGACTAGAAGGACCCTTTCGCTGGAATCTGTTTTCGTGAAAGTTCAGGGTCCTCGGCACAAATTTGTTTTTCTTTTATGGTTGAAACTTTGAAAACTCATAATAACTCATAGAAAAATCATAAAATAGAAATGAAGACTTTTTGGAATCCTTGAGAGTAGATATATGCAGTAGAGTCATCTTATGATATGTGTTAGTAGAAGGTTTTTGCTGTTTTTATTTATCTATGTTAATTAGGGTTTTTTAGAAATAAATTCATATCTATAGTTGTGGTACTCTAAATGAGGTGAAAGTTTTATGGTAGGCTATTGATGCTATATGTGTGCTGTGGTAAAAATTTCAGGTTCATTGGATGCAGTATGACTGAGTTATTGATTTAACTTGTTTAGTGCTTGATAAATGGTATTAAATAAGTTATAATTTTTATGAAGGTGTAAAAATGGAAAATGTTGTTCCTCTACCTTTGTATGATGTTGTGCTACCATAATAATATATAATATGGCCATGTGTTTGCAGAAAAATAGTGTATTTTAGATTTATCTTGCTCTCACATGTTTTCTTGCAATAGCAATTTTTCTTTTTGTAATAATTAATCTATAAAACCTGAGCAAGTAAGATTTATACAGTAATCATGTTTAATCATCATCTATCTATCATAAAAATTTGAGATCCAAATGAGATGTTTGCAACATCACCTATAATTAATATATAGGTTTTTATATATAGAAAAACTAATGAAAGTTTGTTAGTAGATGCTTGTGTTTATGCCGTGTAATACTTCTAATAATTGGTGCTAGGTAATGTGATTGCTTGGTTATAGTTAGGAGTTGCATGGAGCAGCATATATATAGCAACAAAATATTAGTTGTTAACATAAATGGTAAATGCATATAGTTGTATCTCTGCTGCTATGACTGCATGTACAGTTTTGTGGCGGTGATATTTTTGTGATACAAATGATGTTTTATATAGATATGTTGAATACAAAAGTTGTACATAATTTTCTTATCTTGCGTGTCCTAAAAGGCCTGCTGGTTTAGGAGTTATAGATTTTACAAGTTTGCTATCAACTTTTGCATGTCCTCTGACCATATCTGAATGATTGTATTGTTTGACTTATTTGAGCATGGAATTATGTCTTGATGATAATAGGAGAGTTGAATTTATTTTTATAGGCTTTGCAAATTGTTAAAGATCACACCTTTTGGTGGCCTAAATCTACAGATATGGCTGTCTTAAGTTTAAAGTCAGAATCTGTTCAAATCTGGACAGAGATGCCTTCTTGGTGTTGTTTGACCTTGTTAGCTATAGAATTATCTTAAAATGATAATGAGAAAGTTATAAATAACTTAATAAGATTTCCATAAAGCTAAGAATCATATTTGCTGAATGTCTAGAACTCCAGTTATGCATATCTGAAGTTACTGTCAGTTTTCTATCCTTGTCTATGCAGACCTAAAATATTGGCATAATTGATCATGTTAACCTGTGAATTAGCTTTTGGTATGAATAACAAAGTTATATACAATTTCCTAAGCTTTCCATAAAGCCTAGGATCATACTTTTTGCATGCCTAGAACTCTGGGTATGGTTGAAACAAGTGACTGTTGTGTTGCAGCCCAGAATCTGAGCATGTACCTAAAGTTGTTTGCTTCACTTTGCATTGCTTTCTATGCTTGTTAGTGTTAGTTCATGACACTACTAGAGTTAAATTGATCTACCTGAGGTATCTTATAAATGCGTTATATAATGTTGGTCAAGCACGTAACTAATAAATGGTCATGTATGCATGTTGCCACAAAATGATCTTGATGCATGTTTTGCTAGAGCTTTAATTATGTTTGTGCCATTCACCGCAGCCCTAGTTCTTATGTGATGCTAGGCTTAATTAGTTCTTGATTGTTAAATGCTTGTAATAGTTTGACTTGAGTTAAATGGTGTGCCATGCTTGTTATGCTTGCTAGACTTGAGTGATAGTTAGTTAAATGACTTGCTCTCTAAGTGCATATGTCTTGAGGTGTAACCTTATACTTATCTTGAATGCTGTTATATGATGCATCTCATGTTACCATTCTTCGTATTCATGCACTTGCATTGTTGCATCTCATCTAGGTACGCTAGATGCACAACGCGTGGACGTAAAGCACGTGATAATGGAGTCAAACCAGAAGATGGTGTTGGTGGACCTATCCTGAAGATGGAAGGACTTTGAGAGTACATGCCTCAATAGGAGATGCTCGCCAAGCGAGTGTCATCTAACAAACACTGACCTAGTGTTAGATCCCTAGCAAGCCCCAGAGCATTCTAAGCCTCCTATGTTTTTACAAATATCACTTGCGTCCTTTATGTTTGATGCATTAGGTTATAGGAGTTGATTTGAAACACTTGATGCGTATAACTTCTTTGTCCATAAATATACCTTAAACCCTATGTAGGTCCAGGATCGAATATATGCTTAGCAATGCTTAGACCGGTAGAAGTTGGTGATTTTCTATCACCTACGAGATATAGGTGGATACCAGAGCACGGTTGGCTATATTTGCTATCGTGGAATAGAACCATGGGGTGATGATTAAATGGAGGCCAGGCGGAGTCTATGTGTAGGTTGACTCATGTGATTCCATCTATGCCGATTAAGGACCGCATCGTTGGAGGCCCTCTTGTCATTTTGAATGCATGCCTCTCACTTAGCTAGCCGGATAACTCATTCCGTCCGCAAAGCTGAGTAGCTCAACTCAGGACGGGCCTCGTTCTGTAAAAGTGCGCACTCTGGATGGTAGTAAGGATGTGCGGGGAGCCAGACATGAGCCCAAGGGTAGGCCAGGCCTAAATGTCCTAGCAGCTAGTTGTCCCTAGTTGTGCGGCACTGATTGAACCCGTGAAATGTGGACCTGAGTTGTACCAAAGGTGACCTAAGACTACCTTGGCGCACGTGTGTCTGGGTTTATGTTAGGAATAAATTTCCAGTTGGTTGAAATCGATTCGAATCGCTGTCTCTCCCGGATAGTGAGAAACTTGACGGAGCCCCTTCATCGTAGTAATTGGATTATGGAATATGATGGTTCTAATGAATATAAAAATCTTACACCGGCTATGGTTACTATTGTTATGCTACTAAATGATATACCACATGTTTGGCACATGTTAGTTGCTAATCTAGATATGAATAGCTATAATTAACTTGATGACCGAATTATAAAATGTAT